GACTGATTACTAGGAAGCATTGTGCAGAGTGAGACCTTAACCCTTAGATCTCGTTAGCTTAAGAGAGATGGTAGAGTTTAAAGGAAGGGTTAAAAATAAGCATGACTGTGGAACCCACATTAAGTAACTGAATTTACGGATCCTCATAAGACTTCTGGTTTTTTGAAGCCACTCTAACATAAGACAGATGTGCCTTTATATTCAGCTAATTCTCACTGAGCACCTGGTAAATTCCTGGCACCACCCTGAATTCTCCTGAAGGCCCCTTGGTGTGTTCAGTAAAGGAACTACTAGATTCCACGTACCTTTTATCTCCATCTTGGTGTACTCAATGGTGTTTCTATCACTGTATATAACCTAGAGATCCAGGCATTGTTTGCATGAGATTTAGAGTTGTTTAGAAGTTTCAATCTTTTCTTAATTTTTAAATGTGCTGAGTTGTTCATCCTTAAAAGGCACCATATGTCATTTTGGGGATGACAGCATCCCATGTGCCACTCCAAGAAAAGGGCTTGCAGTCAAGAGAGGTCCTAGAATGTGAGGGCAGGGCATACCTTGTTCTGAGAGAGCCAAACAAGTCCACTGTAGTCAAAGAAAATAAATTTTAAAACATTTTGTGGCAAGTATTTTCATTGGGAACACGTACTGTGACCGGAGATCATGACTACTTGGTGTGCATGAAAGTTATATTTTGAGAATGTCATGAAAAATGGAGAAGTCTATGAAAGGCACTCTAGCTTTAGGAAATAATGCTAGTAGGGATTTTAGATTAAAGAGGTAATAAGATCTGCCTAGGCAGAGTGAAGAGCGATGGTTGAGTAGTGAAAAATAAGGTTATCAGACAAGTAAATGGCAGGCTGGAAAACAAAAATATGTCATTGGGATGGCAGGAAGCCATTGCCCGTTTTTCAGAAAGCAAGATAGGGAAGTTATCATACCCTCCCCATCATTTAACTTGAATGGTAAAGGAGTGATCCTAGAGTTCAAGTGACAGTGGGAGGGAAAAATTGTAGTAGTCTCACTTAAAGATTAGGGTCCAATTTTTGAACTTATATCAGGGATTGAGGTTCAAGTGTAGATTAAATATAAAATGAAGAACCAGACAGTTCTACAAAATTGGATGCAAGTAACAAAGGACATAAACTGTTGTTGCAGACCAGTTTCAGTTCTGTGGAAAGCAGACCGCATGTACTGATTGAGAACTTGGAATTTGGGACTTTTGTGGGGGTGGGGTGGAAATAAGTAAGCCCTGTCTTTATCACGTTCAGTATGAGGAGGTGGTGAGAGTTTAGATGGTACAGCTAAGCTAAATTCAATCAGATTTAGAATAGTGCTGTCCTCAGCAGATAAAAATGTGAGGCTATGGGAGGGAATTCAAGTGAGTCATTCTGCCCCAGGGCTAGCCCAGAGCTCCCTAGGGACCATTTGGAAGAAACAACTAGGCAACACCCTATCTCATATGTGACCCTGCATCCTGGCGGTACCACTACATAGACAAACTGAATCCAAATGTTAAGAAGGATGAAATGGTTTCTACAGGTATGACAGACCAAGATTTCAGAGTCTCAAAAATTAGCAGAGATGTCTATTGCTGTAAGGAGGCTTTGGTGGAGCTCAGTGGTGGCAAAGTGAGGGAGGTGTGGTCATCTCACCATAGCCACCTGGCTGGATCCTGGAGGTGAGACCTGATTCTACACATGAGCCACCAGCAAAGAAACCCCATCTAGTAGCATTGCTTCTTCCTTAGCAAAATCCAAGAGTGATGGAAGGACTGGTAATTCTTCCCTCTAGCTCCTGTGTTTTGCCTATTGCCTACCATAGGGGATAGAACTGATGGTCCAGCAGGCAGGAAAGACTTCCCTGGGTATAGTCAGCCACAAAGCCAGCTGCAGTTAGAGAGCCACGGTCACCTCCAATCTCAGCTCTGTCTGCACTTCATAGGCGATGCTCCAAGAAGGGCATAGCCAGAACATCTTAGAGTTGTGAGAGTAAGGACAGCAACACAGCAAATACTCTGTCAGAACTCTAGGATAGCATGAAGGAGGGAGATGAGAAAAAAGTATAGCAAGATCCCTGCCCTCATGGAGCTTACATTTCTCCTGGGTGAGTGAGAGCTTGAACAAATAAATTAAAAAAAAAAAAAAAAAAACATAAATAAGCTGATCAGACAGTGTAGTAGTGCCCTGAAGACAAAAGGGGTGATGTGTGTATTGCAGAGTGAAGTTGGAGTGGGAAGCTGCCTCATTTGGGTGGACCACACAGCTTTCTGTAATCTTTGGCAATTGACCTGAGACCTAAAGAATGAGGAGCATCTTGCCACAGGAGAACTGGTGGAAACGAATTAAGGAAAAGTCTGTGTGAAGGCAGAAACAGAAACAATTAGAAGGATTTTAGACTGTGGGGAGGTGACTAATTTATGACTACAGTGGCCATGGCAGGATGTGCTGGGATCATGATCCAGGGGAAGGGTGATGAGTGAATTAAAGAAAAGACATGTCGGATTCAGCTAAAGTCAGAAAAGGAAATCACAGTCAGTGTGAATGGAAATTTGTTTCTTCTTAAGTTGTAAGGGTTGACTGGGGAATATTTTGGAGGATTTAGGGTTTCTAACCTCTATTTTCTCTGCAGAGGCAGAAAGGAGCTTTTGTCCTGAAAAGGAGGGTAGCAGAAAGTGGTAGAGAGTTGAAAAGCAGTCATAAGAATGTGGAATAATTGCTGTATGGGATGAGGGGCCTAAGAGGTGGCCCAGTGGAAATAGGATCATCTCACACTGGCCCACACAGCTATGTGACTTTCCTCAAGCAAAACATCCATCCCCACCCACACTGGGTGGAAGAAGTCAGAGGAGAGGCTGTTTGGGGCTATTCTGGGTGGTTGAGACAGGGCAGACAAGATTCCTGAAGAACTGGCAGTGTGGGTGAATGATGCTGATAATCAAAGGACAAGAAGCCAACGATGTAGACCCAAGAAAACCCAAGTGGAGAGCTTTGGACACAAGAAGACATTGGTGTAGAGAGGAAGGGTGTGTTGAGGTGACCATGGGAGGAGCTGAAAGGATGGCCTGGGGTCAGAGACAGGAAGTTGGGTTTAATCCTTTCAGATACTTTACTTATTTGACAGCTGCCATTCTGTCTTTCCCCTGATTAATGAATCTGTACTTTCATTGAGGGGGAAATGGTTGGCAGGTAGGTTGAACTTCAGTGAATTTTAACCATATAATGAAACGTTTCCTTTTAATTGTTACATATACCTTTCTCAGCCTTTTGTCTACTGAAAGTATATTTCTTCTCTTGTTATTTGCACAACCATAATGGATGTGTTGGATGCCTGGGCTCTGTTAATAGGCCTCTATTGGACACCCGTTGTCACTCTTAAATGGAACACCACAGCCATAATTGATGGAGAGTTGAGTTGCAAGCTTTTAGGACTAATTGTAAAGTCTAAACTAAAATGTTTCCTGGAGCTGCCTTAAAAAAAAAAAAAATAATAATAATAATATACCTTGTGTAGGTATAGTGCTTTACAACTTACAGAGTACTTTCATGACATCATATCATTTAATTTTTACAATAAACGAGTCTGATTGAATGCTTAGATCTCTGCTGAGAAATCGTGCTGCACGTCCTGATTTAATCATGGTGAGTTGCCAGAAGTTCTCAAAACAATAACCATTTATTGAGCACCTTCTATGCATAAAGCACTTTACTTAGGATACCTAGGGGTACATTTCCAGTAAATAAATATCCAGTAAATAGTACCTATCCAAAAATGTGATCTTGCTTTCTAACTTCCTTTCCCTTCCTCATCACAGTCACTGTTTGGGAGGCTGCTTGCTAAACCATAATTTATATAAATATTGCCAGGAATTCAATTGTAGCAGAATTTAAGTTTTTTAAAACTAAGGATTCTGATACTTAGCTGAGCTCAGTGATTCTTCAGAGAGCCATTCTATCGATTTCATCTTGTACTGTCTTAAAGTTTATGTAGCTATTACACGAATCTCAGAAGTATTTCAAACATCCAGTGTATTTGGAAGTGTTTGAATGGGATGTTCAGGGTATGGTTCCAACAGTGCAGCAGGGCCCTTGGCCCCAAGGGCTTAATATCCAGTAGAAAAGGAGAGACAGTCATCTCCAGGGTCTTTGATGTTTTGAGCCTGGGGGACAAAGGACTCCCAAGATGGAACTATCTGGGTGCATTGGGGGGTAGAAGATAGTATTAGAGCCAGGCCTAGCCCCAGAGCAGGACTAAACCTGTGTCCAGGAGCCCCTAGGGTGTCCAAGCATGTGCTCTGGGCCACCATGGCACCTCAGAGATTTTCCAAAAGGTATGAGACACCCCCCTCCAAATAATAGGATTCCTACTTCATAGGCCCCTGGGCAGAATGGTCCCTCAGAATGAGTGATATGGCCTGCACACCGTCATTCCTTTCCCATCAAAGACTAGGTCAGGCTCAGATGTGGCCCATTAGGTCAGCTGAAGGGCTGTTTTGCTACTGAAACAGAGGTGATCACCAGGATGTGGCTTCTTCAGCTATCTTCCTGCTCCTTGAATATTGTCTTACACTAGCTCTTATTTGGCTGTACATATGGCCATGTGGTTTGGGAATGGGAGAGCACAAATCCAAATGGCCTAATATTTTTTAATAGAGTACTAAATTCTATTATAGAAAGCTCTTCCATGTTACCATCTTTTAAAATAACAATTTCTGTTCTTTACAAGGGAGAGTATTGTCTGGATTACGAAGTTATACAGAGCTTAGGCAGACACAAGCCAAAGAACGCTTTCTTTTTTGTGTTGGGCAGATGTGCGTAATGCTTTATTTTGACACAGACTATGCAGCCAGTATCTGATCATCTCATAAATACTCCAGAGGGAACCACAATGAGAACAGAGTGTGGAGCAGGAGCCTGAGCGTTAAGTCTAAATGATGTTTCCGACTGGGGCTGGCAACATGCTTTAAATAATTATATTCTGATCATTTAGGTCTCTCTTTATAGGGCATCCTTTATGACCAAGACTGTCCAGTACCAAAATGAGCTACATAAATTCCTAATCTGGGATACAGCTGGACAAGAACGAGTAAGTACTCTTTAATTTACTATGTGTTTTTCTGAGGCCCAAATAAATCTCCAACTAAACCATTGATGTCCCTGTCGTTTCACATTACCCACTCCTCTTCTGCGCGCCTGAGATACATTTATTCCTATTTGCATAGGACAGCCTTTTTCTTTTCAATTAGAACCACAAAGTCCACTGGTGGAGAAAGTGGTAATGGGTACTGAGGGCATTTTTATACTTTTTAGTGTCTTAAAGTAAATGCTGACTAACGGTCTTGATAAAACCCCGCTTAGAGCATTGTGTGTAATTTGGGGCTCCGTCCTCCCACAAAGATAGAAGAGAATTAGTGGTAGAAAGGGATAGCTAAGCACATCTCATTTATAGCTGCCTTTTAAAAGCTAAAGAGGGAACTTTACAGCATATAAAGTTTGAGATTTAAGTGAAATGGATGAGCTAACACAGTGCTTTGCAATAGGTACTTAGTAAATGCCTGATGATAAAATTGTCCAAGATGGTTATCTGCTTAAGGAAGAGCCTGAACCAGACGTGGGAACTGGGCTGAGGCATCACAGTGCAGAGTGGGGATGGGGTGAAGCCCACCCAAGTCATACAGGAGTGGGGAGGTGGGTGGGAGAACACACACCTACCTGCTGCCTTATTTTACTCTGGGCCCTAAGTCTGATTTTCCTGTCAAGGGGTATCTGGCAGCCACCCCATTATTCAGCTGCTGTTTAATTTTGTTTTCAAACAGTACTATCAAATAGAACATCTGATGGATGCACAGTGCTATCTTAAGCTCTTAAAAGTGTACCAGAAGTAATCGGAAGAAATAGTCTGTCATCACGGTCTTCTCTAAGACAGCAGAGATACTGTGTGTGGTATAAAACCTGACAGAATCATCACAAACAAACAGAGGAAACAAAACAGCCTTACTGTTGTCCCGGACGTAGACACCATGCATCTGTACCGATTTAATGTCCTAAGTTTGTCTGTTAGCTTGCTTCTGTTGGTTTTAATGCTGGATGTCATACCCTGTGTCGATTGCTCATCTGAGATCCAGCCCCTAGTCTCCATCTCCCATGCCTTGTACTCTGTATCTGCATGGAGTATTTAGGACAGCTAGGCCTTTGCTAGCCATCACTCTTCCATCCTTCCCAAGTGTTGCTTCCACAGAGCCTTCCTTAACATATCTGTAGGCACAGTTGTGGTGTCTGTCCTATTAGCCAAAAACTCATGTGGCTCTTCAGACTGATAACATATGTGCCCTTTCACTGAACCCCAAGTTTCAGTTTACCCCTCCCATATAGTTGATGATACAGCAACACCCTCATCATAAAGAATCATGCTATGATATAGAGTTCACGAGGCTTTGAGTCCGTACGCACTGTGATGTGGAGCATCTCTTTTTTCTAACCACAAAAAAAAGAGTTAATAGTGTTTATGCCTCCCTTGCTGTTGCCATAATAGCAGAATCCTATTAAGATGTTCTTTGTTTTTTTGTTTTTGTTAATCCTCACCTGAGGATATTTTCCCATTGATTTTTAGAGAGTGGAAGGGAGGGGGGAGGGAGGGAGGGAGGAAGAGAGAGAGAGAGAGAGAGAGAGAGAGAGAGAGAGAGAGAGATCAATGTGAGAGATACATTGATTGTTTGCCTCCCACACATGCCCTGACTGGAGTCTAGGATTGAACCTGCAATCCAGGTTCATGCCCTTGACCAGGAATCAAAGCTGTGATACTTTGGTCCACAGCGACGATCCAACCACTGAGCCAGACTGGCCAGGGTTTAAGTTTTCTGTTTTTTTTCCAGGGTTTAAGTTTTATAGTTAGCTGGTTTGCCTGCCTTTTCTTTCCCTTCCTTCTCATTGATTCTGCACCAGGAATAGTTGCTCTGAGGTATAAGGCTGCCTCACCCCTACCTGAAGCTACATCTCTTAGCCAGGGGCTTGCTCAGGTAATGTAAATGAGGCAGCAGGCAGAGAGAGGTCAAGAGAACTGGCTGGTAGGACCCAGACCCCATTGGGAGACCTGAGAGGGGATCCAGCCTATGGTTGCCAAGCCACTGCATTTCAGAAAAGTTAAACATGTAACAGTGAATCACAAATGGTTTGAAGTACTGTGAGCTTCATCCAGGACATATCTGTGAGCTTATTCTGATGGCAGTGTGTCCTGGGCAAGGCCACCCAAATCCCTGAATATGCCAGCCTTGGCCAGAGTTTCCATTTGCACCTCCTCCAACCAGTTACCCTCTAGGACCCAACCAATGTACCCTACAATTTCATACCCTCAAACCCATGAACTATTGTTTCCTATACTTTGAATACCCGCTCCCACCTTAACCTAGAAAACTCGCCTCTCATGTCACCTCAGGGGAGGGGGGATTTTCCTTCCTGTCCTGCTGTTCTCAGATAAGTACCCACAATGCCGTACACCTATGTTGCCCCAACCTGAATCCAGAGGTCATCTTTGACTCCAACCTCCCCCTCACATTTGCTCCAAATAGATCTCAAATCATTCACTTCTCTCCTCCACTGCCAGCACCATGCTCTCAGACACCTCTAGCTCTCAGCCAGGTGTTCCTCCCTGCTATCACTCTTTCCAGCCCCCACCACACTGTATCATTTCTCACAGGACTCAGAGGAGTCTTTTGGAAGCATAAATCAGACCAGACCTATTATCTTCTTGCTTAATACCCTTCACTATCTTCCTGTAGTTCACCTCCAATAGCCAACCTAGGACCAGTGGCCTACAAAGCCTGGCATGGCCTGCTCTACCTTCTCTCTTCGCCCATCCTCCTCTCACCCACTGAGTTGCAGCCCACTGGTCTCCATTCAGTTCCTCAGACTCTGCCCACCATGCCTTTACACACAGCGAGTCTTCTGCGGGAACTTCCTCTTTCCTCCACTGGGTGCCTGGCCAGGTCTCCTTACTAATCTTTTGGTTTCAAGTTAACTGTTATGCCCTCAGACCCCACAGCTAATAGGGCCCCAGTTCATTCTCCATCAGTGTCCTTGATTTATTCTCCTTAGGACCCTCATTCTAAGTTATAAGTAGATTCTGTCTAGTCACCTTTGGTGGCAGTCTCTCCCCCAGACTGTAAGCTTGGGAGAGCTGGGACCTGTGTCTCGCTCACTCACTGCTATATTCCCACTGCTCGAACAGTGCCTGACCTAGAGCTGATGTGCAATACTGGTCACCAGTCATTAGATAAACTCTTCAGCACATCTCTGTAGTCTGAACAGTCTTTGATTGCCCTTATCCATGGATTGTACCTGTTTCCTTACTTATCCTCTGTTTTCTGTAGTAATGAGATTCATTGTGGAACCAGAGTCATTGTAAAATAAAAACCCTTTTGGGTGAACCCTGTTTTGACCCTTGCAACTGTCTATTAGTTTGATGGGCCAGTTGCAGTGGACTGCCGAGTGATTCATTAAGTCAGTGAAAGAGGTTCTGGAGAACTTTACAGGTGTTGTGTAAAGCCAGTGATGGTCGGATCTTCTTAAATGAAGTGATGATGATACAGGTGCTTCAGAAGATAATGATTTGTATGTAGAAGGGTTGAGAGCCCTAAGGAAAACTGGTGGAATTCTCAAGTAGTTTTGTAAAAATTATCCTTTTTAAGTTGGACCAGGAGAGCCGAAATGAAATGGAAGCTGTCACCTTGCACCAGCAAGCAGTTTCATCAGAAGAACCAGTCAGCTTGGCTCATTCATTCAGCAAACTAGCTTCTGGGTACAGTAATAAACCTGAGTTTTTTTTCAAATGTCAGATTAAATGACACTTGTTTTTATAACTTAAAATTTATTTTCTCAAGACAGAGCCTGCCAGACCTTTTTGTCCCTATTTTCTGTCCTTAATGACTTCGTTTTAGGTGACATCTTTTCAGTCATCCTTCACTAACAAGGATTCGTACAGTATTCTGGGGGCTGTGCACAAAGCACCACAAACACGTATCATAAATATGCCATAAGTGTCGCAACATTTCAAGTACTTGTTGCCTGTGATCATATAAAAGAAAGCTGCTTAACCAAAGTCTAGTAGACACTGCATCCAGTCTAAAGGTTTAAGCTCCTGAATCCTCACATGCTACTCGGATGACGCTTTCCGGAGGTGACACCAGGAAGGCTCGCTTATTGTCTCCGTAGTCATGGAAGGAACTGTTTTTGGGTTTCAAATCAGGAAAAAGTGCAGTAGCCTACTATCATCAGAGCTAAAGTCGACACTATGGCCTGTGGGCTAAGTCTTGCTAGCTGCTTGTTTCTGTAAATAAAGTTTTATTGAACACAGCCGCACACTTACTTGTTTACATATTGTCCTCGACTACTTTCATTCTTCAGTAGTACAGTTGAGAAGTTGTACCAAAGATCAAGTGAACCGCAAAGCCTGAAATATTTAATACCTGGCCCTTTCCAGAAAAAGTTTGCTGAACCCTTATCTGGAGCCAGATTTGGAGCAGAGATGTGCGGACATCCTTTGAGTCTCTATTTAAGCTGCCACCTTCCTTTATACAGAAGGACATGAAAGAGTTTCAATGTCAGTAATGGCGGAGTGGCTTGTAATGGAGTCACCCTCCCACAGACAACAGTTCTCTGGAAACTGGACAACACATTAAACAGCATCTATCAGAAGGTACTACCAGATGCAGCCAGAGACTCCACTGGGGGAAAGCCACATTTTTACAGTTTTTCCCAGGAGGGCAGTCCCAGTCCATGTGGGACAGGGTAGCTAGGACTCGAGTAGAAAGCCTGTCTGTTTAGCTTGTGGCTTCTGAGGACAGACTTTAGGGCTGCTAGAGCAACCTAGGAAAGAAGAGGCAAGTCCCAGAAAAGGGGGACCAACAAGAAGGGAAGCCCTAAAATCTGCTTATAAATTCCCATCAAGGCTTTGCCTGACCCCCAATTGTGAATGAATGGGGAAGACACTGAGGCCCCCAGCAGAAGGCACAGCTAGAGAGACCACAAGACTGAGCAGAGATTGGGCTGCTGCTCGTCTGTCGCAGGAAACATCGAGTTTGGAGTTTGAGTCCAATCCTGCCGTGTTGGAGGGATTGGTAAACACCTTGGGCTTCCATTGAAACCTCAGAAGGATCAGGCCTCAGGAGCAGACACCATGTCCAAGGACTAAAGACAGACCCAGGCAGACTTACCCTAACCACCGGCAAAACCAATCTCACGATGAGTAGTCAGCAATTTCACACTCCTCGGAGAAGGTAAAGATAGTTTAAGTTGTTCAAAGATTTAAGGAAAAGTAGTCTTATCTACTTTGTACAGATGGGGAAGCTTGCACAGAATGAAAACTAATAACCATATGGAAATGGTAAAACTGAAAACTGTAACATCGAAATGAAAAATCTGCTGGATGGGTGACAAAAATGAGTCAATCAGAAGAACAGGGGAAGAGTGGGAAAATAATGAGCATAATCTCAGTACCATAGGGACAAATCCACACAGTCTAACATTTGTATAACTGAGACCCCGGAGTGGGGAGCGGGGACAGAAGAAAAGGGATATTTCAAGAAATAATGGCTGAAAATTTCCCAAATCTGGTGAAACATATCAACTCACAAATCCAAGCAGTTCAGCATACCCATTAGTACAAAGAAAACTACCTTAAGGTGCATCATAGTCAAAATGCTGAAAACCAGAGTTAAAGAGGAAAAGCTTGTGAAAGCAGGCAGAGATAATAAACACGTTATGTACAGGGGGACAGTATGAATGATGGCTAACGTCCCACACAAACAGGCTAGAAGACCGTAGAACAGCATCTCTAAAGTGCTGAAAGCAAAAAAGTCACCCTGCCAAATTATCTTTCAAATATGGAGTCAAAGTAATGACAGTTTTAGAAAAGTAAGTGCTGGGAGGATGCAGCAGCAGCCCCAGAAGGGTTTCCGGCTGACGGGTGACACAAAGTGGTAACTCGGACCCATAGAAAACAATATATAAAAATCCCTTTTCTCAGCTGATTTAAAGGCTACTGGCTATTTACTGCAAAAATTACAGCATTGGATTGTATAGTTTGTAGTGTATGTAGATTGAAAATACTAGTATTTTACAACAGCACATAGGACAGTGGGATAAAAAGAATGAGACTTTTGCAAGTTTCTGGTATTGTACATGAGGTAGTACATTTTTAAACTCTAAGTCAACTGTGGGGGTGTGGGGGGAATGTATATTGTAGTTATACAAGCATACCACATAAAAAGTAATACAAGAGGTATAGATAAAAAGCCAATGGACAGATTATTAAAATTAAATACTAAAAATATTCAGTTAATGCAAAAGAGGGAGGTAAAGAATAGGATTTTTGAAATGGAACAAATATAAAACAAAAAGCAAAATGGTGACATAATATCAGTAAGACCAAATATATCAGTAAGTACATTAAATGTAAAGGAACTGCCGAAACCGGTTTGGCTCAGTGGATAGAGCGTCGGCCTGCGGACTGAAGGGTCCCGGGTTCGATTCCGGTCAAGGGCATGTACCTGGGTTGCGGGCATATCCCCAGTGGGGGATGTGCAGGAGGCAGCTGATCGATGTTTCTCTCTCATCGATGTTTCTGGCTCTCTATCTCTCTCCCTTCCTCTCTGTGAAAAATCAATAAAATATATTTAAAAAATAAAAAATAAAAAAAAAATAAATGTAAAGGAACTGAGCATTTCACTTAAAAGGCAGAGTTTAGCAGCATGGGTCAAAAGGCAGGATCATCCATGTGCTGGCTGGCAGAGGACTGCCTTAAATACAAACAGAGATAGCTTGAAAATAAAAGAATGGAAAAGGATAGTCTATGCCCGTTAAAAGCAAAAGAAAACCATTGTGCTTATATCAATATCAATGGCGTAGATTTGAAGACAAGGGTTATTGTCAAGGTTAAAGAGCATCAGGGAACTTTCTGTGTTGGTAGAAATGTTTACTATCTTGGTGGGATGTTTACGTGGGTGCATCCACATATGTCATTTTATCAAAACTTAAGATCTTTTATCAAACTTAAGATCTTTGTACTTTTCTATATGAATTTTACCTTCCAAATTTGAAGGTAAAAGCAACAACAGCCTTGTAAAGATGTTGCGGTGTGGTACATCAGAAATGAAAGCTAATGCCATCCCTTTGTCTTGCCTGTACACTCCTGCTCCCCTCATGCTCTCCTTGGAAGTCAGCCCATCTTCCCCACCCAGGAATGCAGTTCCCTCTATGTAGTGCTTTCTTGCTCCTAACCTGTATTTTTTGTTGTTGTTTTTTTTCTCTGTAAAACAACATATTTTATTAGGAGTTATCAGGCTTCCGTCCAGAAGCAGGGGTCTTTCTCACATAGGAAGTGAAACTTCCTATGACACTGAGGTTGGGGTCTGGCTTTAGTTTGATATCACCCCATACTTAACAGTTCTTACTTGTGTTTTCACCAATTCTGGCTTTTCTACAATGTGCAAGCGCAAGGCCCCAGAGAGAAAACCATGTAAACAGACAGGCTACCTTCCCTCATGGAGTTTACAGTCAAAATTTCGCTTTCTTTTGTAAAACTCAAGTGAACATGGAAGTTTAAAAGCCAGAGATCAAGCTCATTAGGTGAGAAGTTGCAGACTGTATGTGAGCTGTGCAGCAGATGTTAAGCTCTGCGGACAGTTCTTACCTGAGGTGGGCTAGCCACCAGGGCAGAGAGTAAGGTGGGGAGGACAGTGGGAGCCCGTTCTATGTCGGATCCGGTTTCAAACTTGAGGTGTAAGGCAAAGATCAATTACAGGTAAAATCTTCTCTTTAAATTTTGGCATCACAGTCGCTGAGTGAGGTACTCAAACCAGCACATCCACATGGCCAGAGAGCCCAGGTGACTGGGCAGAGAGCAACAGCATAATGTCTCACACTGGTTGAGAGACATGGCCAGCTACTCAGCCTAGCCCTTTAAATTGTTCTTCTGCTCCTCTTTCCTTCCCTTCCCTGTCATTCCTCCTTCCTTCCCTTCTCTGTCATTTCTGTCCCCCTTCCCTCCCCTCCCCTCCCCTCCCCTCCCCTTTCCTTCCCTGTCATTCCTCCCCTCCTTTCTTTCCTTCCCTGTTATTTCTCTCCCCTCCTTCCTTTCCTTTCCTGTTGTATGCAGGATGAGAGAGCGGGTGATGAGTGGAAGGAAGCTGCGTATACAGAGTTAATTTCATGTAAATGAAATTATATACTTACCCACATTTGGGAATTGCCACCTGCATGGAATTAGGCAGAAATGGAGTTACAGACTCATCCCAGTATGGAGGGTCGACCTGTCCTCATTTCTGGGGTACCATCAGCATTCATATGACAGGGTCTTCTTCATGACACCCCAGTGCAGCCGCTTCTCTGGAGAGCTATTTGCAGCATGATTTTTATCTCCTTGATCGTTTGAGGAGTCGAAGTTTAAAGGACTATTGAATAAGTGAATTTGGGAACTATAACATTGAGTTCAATTAAAAAGCCTTTTTAGCTGAAACAATTGTTTATAGCACTATATTTAATTCCTATAAAACTGTATTCTAAACTATCTTCTGAGAGACATTTCAGTGTTACATTAGAGTTGTTGCCTTTGGTAATCACTGCCTCATTTGCTTTAAAGCATCATATCATCTTGGGCTTAGAAGAAAGATTACCTTTTGTGTAGGGATAATGGGTTTAAGAGTCTAGTAAAAAACATTAACCAGTTTTCCCAATTTTGTTGTTTCTTTTTCTCTGCAGTTCCGTGCCTTAGCGCCCATGTACTATCGAGGGTCGGCTGCAGCTATAATTGTTTATGACATCACAAAAGAAGTAAGACCTGTATTGTGTTTTCCAGACTGCTTTGAAAACCCTCTTGGTTGCTTAGCTCTCCAGTTGCTTTCCCCTTGTGTGTTACAGGAGACCTTTTCAACATTAAAGAATTGGGTAAAGGAGCTTCGACAACACGGTCCACCTAATATTGTAGTTGCCATTGCAGGAAATAAGTGTGATCTTATCGATGTAAGGTAAGTTATTAGAACAGGAGATTACAATGCTGATCATGTGTTCCTTTTCTTACCGAGCAATATCCAGTTCAAGAATCTTGCTTTTACTTTATCTCTGGCATTGAAAAATCCCTTTTCGTTGTGTGGCTGGACTCCTCAAGTTTCAAAGTAAAATTAAGAGTTCAGGCATTTGGAGCCAATTAGGTTATGTATGTAGACAGGTATGTAATTTATTTAATGTTGGTTGCATCAGGCTTGACATGATCTGAGCTTAGCTCCCATGAAATAGTATACTGGAACAGGGGAAGCAGGTTTTCAGGAAAGCACATTTGTTAGAAGTTTCTGTGGACCGCTTCTATAATTCCCAACGCAGGGGCATTACTTTGGCGGGCGGGGCCATTCTCTGATCATTCCACTGCATGCATTGCTAGCAGTACATTTTTGTTTTGTTTAACCATAGACATGAGCCATTTGTGGCATCCTTTGTCATCATCAGTCTGCTGAATTACTGGGTAGGTGGGATAACATGAAGCACTGATGGGTCACATTTCTGATTTGCAATCGTTGCCTTTCAGAGAAGTCATGGAGAGAGATGCTAAGGATTACGCCGACTCCATCCATGCGATTTTTGTAGAGACCAGTGCAAAAAATGCGATAAACATCAATGAACTCTTTATAGAAATTAGTGAGTATCTCTGTGCCGTACGGCTTTTTCCTGTGCAGGGCAACTGAAAAACAGAATTGTCTTTCTGGGTGGAATTCCTTCTTCGTTTCTGGTACGGTTCTCAGTGGAATGAGAGTTGAGAGGGTAAGAGTGACAGCGGTTTTCATGTCATGTAATTGCTGGAGAGCTGCTGCCTGACGACTGACCCTTCTATTAAGATCGTTGCTACTGCCCTGACTGGTTTGGCTCAGTGGATAGAGCGTCAGCCTGCGGACTCAAGGGTCCCGGGTTCGATTCCAGTCAAGGGCATGTACCTTGGTTGCGGGCACATCCGCAGTGGGGAGTGTGCAGGAGGCAGCTGATCGATGTTTCTCTCTCATTGATGTTTCTAACTCTCTATCCCTCTCCCCTTCCTCTCTGTAAAAAATCAATAAAATATATTTAAAAAAAAAAAAAAAAAGATCGTTGCTACTAATAAATTATGCACAGGGCCTGGAGGGCCTGGAAACTTGCCTCTCCCTCTTTCTCTCTTTGTATGTTCCAGTGAGTCGTCTAAAGTCATTGAGAATGAATAAAATAAATAAGGGGAAGGGAAATGCATGTAGAATTCCACTGTAAGGAAACCCTCAAAAATTACTACTAGGCAAGTAAAAGGTAAGACCTGTCTTCCTTTCCCTCCCCCTATCTAGTGTTAATATGATGACACTAGATGGAGAGGCTGCTGCATACCTTTGGGACCCTCTACAGATTGTATCTATGTTTATTCATTTCATTCAAGTTCATCAAAATGTTTATTGAGAACTGTTCCAGGCTCAGGGGAGACAGTGGAGAATGAGACAGGCACAGCCCCTGCGCTGCTGGAGCGTAGGCTGCCCTGCAGGGACAGACAGCACAGCAATAGTGAGATCCTCTCAGATGATAAGCATGGATGGCAAGATAGTAATACAGGATGAAGTGAAAGAGTGCCTGCAGGTGTTCAGGGAAAGGCCTTTCCTGAGCAGGTGATGTTGGAGCTGAGATGTGACAGAGCAGCCCGTGCCAGGACCTGAATTCACGTTAACTGAGCATGTCAGACTCCAGCTGGAGAGCAGGGGACAGCTGTCAGGCATCATGAGCTTACTCATTACGATCCATTGTCTGGTGAGATACGAGATTGCTGAAGCTGGAAGGCGCTCAGTGCCCACCAGGACCCACCAGTGACAGCCCACCAGTGGAGCTGGCCCAGGGCGAGTGCTGGGACTCGGGTGGCAGAAAGCCTCACAGCTGGTGGTGAGGGCCCAACTCCAACAGTGTGGCCACACTAGAGTGTAAGCCTCTGGTCTCCCAATTGCTTGGGTTGCTTTTTTTTTATTTTTATTTTTTGATGTTTTTAGTTCAGAGAACCAGAGATCTGAATTTTATGTAACATGTTTCACTGCTGAGATTTGGCCACTAACTCAAATGTTTGTAGAGTACTGTACAGACCTACCAACCCCATCTATGGCAGAGAACGCCTGTGGGCTGCTGGTTTGCAACCTCTAGTCCAGTCCCTTCATGTCAACATTAAAAAGTCATGACGTGCCCTGGACGGTTGGTTCAGTGGTTAGAGCGTCAGCCCACGGACCAAAGGGTCTCAGGTTCAATTCCCAGTCAAGGGCATGTACCTCAGTTGCAGGTTTGATCCCCAGCCTCGGTGGGGGCGAGTTGGGGAGGTAACCAGTCAATGTGTCTCTCGCATCAATGTTTCTGTCTCTCTTTCCCTCTTCCACTCTGAAGACCAATGGAAAAATTTCCTCAGGTGAGAATTAAAAAAAAAAAAGTAATGATGATTATTGTCTTCCTGGATTGTAAATAGCAGGTACCCAAAGGCATTCTTAAAAGACAACTGGAGGCCAGTCAGAAGTTTTTCACAATTCAGGCTAAAAACTCTAAGTATGGTGTCAGATGTGTATTGAAATTATTACTTTTTCTAAAATTATTTTTTTGTTAATCCTCACCCAAGGATATTTTTTTCCATTGATTTTTAGAGAGAGTAGAAGGCAGGGAAGGAGGGAGAGAGAGAGAAATGTCAATATGAGAGAGACACATCGATTGATTGTCTCCTGCACACATCCCGACTGGGGCCGGGAATCGAACCCGAGACCCTTCAGTGCAAGGGCCAATGCTCTAACCATTGAGTCACACTGGGTAGGGCTGAAATTATTACTATTTTTAAGTATTCTTTACTCTTAACAGTATTTGAAACAGGAAGGCAGTGAATTATACCAACAATGAAAATCCTTAAATAAAAACAAGCATGTACATACTCATCTTAACTATGAAAAATAAAAAATATATGTTCACAAAGATTAGAAAAACTGAGTCAGATATAAATTGAGGTTAATGCTTACTGGGTGTTACAAAGTTGTGTTAGCACAGTAGCTGGCATACTTGCTTCTTCCTGAAATGTAAGTGCTCACATCAGATGTACAGCGCTCAAGGAATTTTCACAAGCAAAGTATACTCCTGTCATCTGCACCCAGAGCTAGACCCAGGGGCACCTCCCAAAGGGAACCATCGTCCTGACTACTGACTCTTCAGATCTGTTTTGCCTGTTTTCATACTTTATGTTTTTTGAAACATACTGTATTTACTCTTGTGTCTGACTTCCTTATCTCTTTTAGGTTCATACATGTTTAGGTTCATCTGTATCATTGCATGATCCATTCTTGTTTCCGTGGTGCATCTGTCAGCCTCAGAGTCAGAGCAGGAGGATGCCCACGGTGGTTATCCATCCTGTTGATAGGCATCTGAGTGGTTGTTTCCAATGTAGAGCTATTACAAATGGTACCGCTGTGAGTATTCTGCTTCCTGTCCCGTATATACACAATAGGCACACATTTTGATAGGTGTATTTTATACCAGGAGAAGAGTAACAGTCCTGGGTATGCATGTGTTCAGTATGCATGCATACCTTGCTGACCTTACACCAGGGGAATGGGAGTACTCTTCATCCCCGGTGGGCAGGTAGTGATTTGCATTTCTATGACAGTTAATGAAGTTGAGCACCTTTCCAGGTATTTATTTATGTTTACATACTCTCAGGATGTCCTCCTTTGTGAAGTTCTGTGTTTTTCTGTTCAGTTGCCTTCCTTTTCCTGAGTGTTCATTGATCATACTGGTGATCATGTGTGTTGGACAAATCTTCTGCTCTGTCCATGGCTTGACTTCCATGTCTGAATCCACTCCTTTGATGAACTGGAGTTTTTAACCTTAGTAGAATCCCATTGGCCCTTGTTTTCCTTTATGGTTGACACTTTCTGGCTCTGGTATGAGAAGTCACTGCCTATTCCCAGGTTAGGAAGATGCTCTCCTCTGCCTCCTTCTAAATGTGCTTCAGAGATGACTGTTATCCCAGCTGTACTTCCAGGACCTATTTAGTGAGAAATGTGTGATGGCCAGAAACTTTAGTAAAGGTTTTGAACTAATTCACAGTTTATTCACAACAGCATGTACAGGCATTTGAAAAGTAGAGGTAGGACATACTGGGGAATACCTTCCAGTCATGTGGACACATGCTGGGTACTACCCACCTGATTTGAAGGCTGCTCGACGTGCTGGAGGCTCCAGGCATGGCAACCAAGGACCCAGGAGCTGGCATATTCCATCTCAGTCTGTCCATGCCCAGAATGCACGCACCCAGTTCATCTCATGTCTTCAGAATACTTCAGTGCCTGGAACTGTGCTAATGACCCTGGAAACAAAGATGGACAAACAGGATTTCCCCTTAGAAGGGCTGAGGATCCAAGTTGAGGGAGCTCTTTGCATAAACAAATATATGACAGCGTGCCTCCAAAGTCCTGATGGATTCCAGTGCCTAAGATGTTGGAGAGTTAGGAAGTGGGAGGCGTCAAGAAAGCCTTGTATAGAAGCAGCCCTGAAGTTATCAGTGGGGTGGGTGGATGGATGGGTGATACCAGGTTTCCCTCAAAATCGACATGCTTCATGGAGCAGTAAAGTGAAACCTGTTCATTCTCATACATGGTTGGTAGCAGAACAACGTGGCACAGCCTCTTCAGAGAACAATTTGGCAGCATCTGTCACAATTTAAATTGCACGTCCTTTCCGCATCTGGACTAGACAGACACTGGGCTACAGGGGCTATATCGAGGTCAACACCCAGAAGTAGAATAGCGTGACCTGGCTCTTCAACTCTGTTAGTTTATCCAACACATGCACTCAGGTTCATAAAGATATTCTTGCATCGTTGTTAGTAGCATCAGAATATTGTAAACAAACTAAATATCTGTCAACAAGGGAGCGCTTTAATTACAGTACATCCGTAATACACTGAAGTGTCACAGAGCTATCACCTAGAAGGTGGCAGCTCTCCAGGCACTGTGCTGGGACCGTCCCAGGGCACACCGTGAAGACAATGAGGTGGAGAGCCGTGCACTCTGGTTGCTCCTGTCCCAGTTTAGGAATGGGGACAGGTTAAGATGTGTGTGTTGTATATGTCTATCCACACCTATTCCTGGACAGAGGGATGGATCTGTTCTGATTAATTTTTTATATCACGTGCATGCGTTACGTACTCAAAACAAGATGTTATTAACAGGTAATTTTTTTATTTTTATTTAAGAAAGTGTTACTAAATGCCACGTGCTATCTTTGCTTGGACCCTGAAACAAAACACAACATCAATGGAAAACTGCTGGCATCTGAAAAAAGTGGAGTTCAGCTACTAGTGATATGCTCATGTTGAATTTTTCATTTCAACAGATGTCTTGTAGCAGTGTAAGATAGTAACATTAGGGGACACTGGGTGAGGAGTATCAACAACTCTATATTATCTTTGCAACTTTTCTGTAAATCTAAAATCATTACAAAATTAAAAATTTATTAAACTTTTTTTAATGAAACCTGCCAAGTTATATCTACAAAATTGTGTCTGAGAATGAGCAGATTTAGAAAGTTAAGGTTCATTCCCTTCCCTCCTGTCCTCTTGGTTTAGGTCGAAGAATTCCATCCACCGACACCAACCCGCCGTGTGGCGGGAAGGGCTTCAAACTCCGGAGACAGCCTTCAGAGCCCAGGCGAAGCTGCTGCTGACTGAGCCTCAGCCTCGGACTCAGTGATGAAGTAGGTGGTCCTGAAAGCTAACAGGAGGGCTGGGGGCCCTGCTGCCAGACTGAGCCTCGCTGGTCTGGGGTCTGCTTCATGCAAAAAAGAGTCGCAGAAATTGACCAGTCTGTTTCCTCTTTGAAGACTGTAGCAGTGCGGTTTCAGTCTTCGGACTTGTGTTATGTAAAGACTCTGGGGGACAAAGGGACTCCATCACTGGCTTTTGACCTTGTTGAAAAGGAACATGTAATTGTATGGATCGTAGGATCCACTTGTTGAGTCGTTTTGTAATCAAGATTTTATGTAACATTTGTAAAGGGAAATGAGCACTTTCATCATTCTTGAGGAAAAGAAGACCTCGTGGAGATTATAATTTCCTTGGTTTCACATTACCCCTGTTCTAGGGAGTTGTATAATTTAAAATGTGGTAGCATCGTTAAGTGGAGGGATGGCGATTATTATCTGAAGGTAAAATGGGTTCTTTATCGGACTGATGGAAATGATTGCATCCATCTCCAGAGCATTTTCCATTGCATACATTAGCCCAGGATACATACAGTAAATTCACAACAACAACAATAGCCTGCAGCTCAGCCTCCGTTTGCATTCTGACCCTGTCCTGTATGTGTCACCAAACTCATTATTGGCTCCTGTAATAAGCTCTAAGGATCAGGGTAGTGGTGGTAGAGAAGCTGACTGGAGTAAATCAAATTGCATATGTTTAAACTGACTAACTGGTTTTAAAAGGAGGAAAAAGAAAGTAGTGTAAATACTGTCAATTTTTTATTTAACCCAAATATTTTGGTGGGGGAAACAATTATCTGTTGCTTAGCCTATGTAAAGTTATAGTCCATATTTATGAGACCATTGCTTAAAAAGTATAAATTATGTAAATATGGTAATAAATTCTGTGTTTCATTCCATTTAATCTTGCCCCATCTTGCATGTGCCAACCCTATTTTCAGCCTGTCCACGGGAGACTCTTCAAAGCACATTTATGTTGTGCGAAAGCATAGAGCCTTAGCTTATAAGTCTTCAAAGATTTCCCTGCCTTTCTTTCCTTCCGTCCCCCTTCCGAAGCCCATCTGGAAATCATAACATAGACATATGCCACTTGGACAAGCCCGACTAGCCCTTTCTAGCCTTGGGGTAAAAAAAAAAAAAAGCTCCAAGCTCAGGTCATTTACCTGGTCTTGGTAATAAGTTTCTTTTCACTTTTAACATCAGCCTCAGACCAACTGTTTGAAGAGAGCTTTCCTTGTTAACAATTTAGCTTATCTTTCCGGTTCCCTTTTCCCCCCTGCCTCTGTTAGTGGTTAACACTCTTTTCCCTCAGGGAGCCTAATGAGGTTTTTAATATAATCTAAAAATAAAGCACTGAAGTGAAGTTGGTGAAAATTTGTCCCTGGTCTAATTTGGCACCCTTCCAACTTGAGTATTGTAAGGGAAGGAAATTTACAAGATTATATAGGAAATGAAACAGCTTGAATTTCAAACTAAATTGTGTTTTCAGAGCTCTCCTTAAACTGAACAGTCAAAACTTTTAAAAATAATTGTTATTTCTTTGTGCACCCCACTTGATATGGGTAGATTTTAATGAGAAAATTATAACTCAAATGAAGTACAAAACGATTCCCTTCTCCCTGGTGAATATCTCAAGCATTTGAAATTGCTTGTTTTTTATTAAAATCCGATAGAAGGAATGTAGTTAGTGAAAATTCTAACATCGTTTTGTTTAAAATACATGTAGACTCTATAGGTGCCCCCCCACCTCCCCCCCACCCACCCACCCCGCCCCAGCATCTTGCTTTCAGAGAAAACAAATAATTGTAAAGACTGGGCTCTTTGCGCCTGAAGGTGGCTTCACTTTATTTCCTATACTGGTACATCCAGGTGGATGGGGGTACTTGGCCACTGCCCTGGTCCATCCCTAGCATTCCCACTCTGGGCCTCTGTCTCCACGACAACAAAATAAAAACAAAGGTTGCTTGACTTCTTCCCGAAGAGGCAATGCTTGTGTGGCCCCTTCTTTCCTATTTTACCAAAAGATGGTGCAAATCTGTGACCTTCACAATATTGCCACCAAACCTGTCAGTGTTTACGATTTCATGGTGTCTGAGTGCACAGGGAAAAACAAAGTGCTTGCTTGCTTCACCTTACTGGTGCAGTGAGTAAATGCCTCTGATCCTGTTTTGACCTTGACTGTTTTCAGCCCCAAACGGGTCCATCCCGGTAGCCCTGCAGCGGTTCTCTGCCATTTCTCAGACACCTTCCAGCATGTAGCGAGGGATTCTCTTTGACTGTAGCCACATATTTTATGCACAGAATGAATGGCGTATGGCATGTGCAGCACTAGCCGCTATTCTTCACGCGTTTCTGGGCCTCTCCTCCCCTCATTTCCATCAGTCATCTCAGAAATTGACATGGCACCATTCTTGTGCAATATCTTTTTAATCCTTAACAACAGCAGCAGATTGCTCTCTCAGATCCACAATTCACACACAATGAAACGGAGAAAAGGGTTTTCATTTATTTTGTTTGCTTATGAAATGCAAAGATGAATATTAAAGTCAGAAGCAGTGTTTCATTTTGAACACACTTTGGATGTTAACCTGACTGAGCAATGATCTGATACACATTTCATACATTCTTTGTTCTTATTTCTTAAGAGAAAAGGCCAAATTTCAAAGGAATTGAGGTCTAATCCATCCATAAAAACCTTTTGGTTCCCTTATGACACAGGGCATTTTTTAAAAAAACTTTAGGGACTGAAAAGAGAAAAATCATTAATTAGCTGCAAGTGTATATTGATTCCTCTCAGAGAAATTGAAATAAGCTCTTTGCAGGTGTCTAATCCTAGTCACCATTGGTCTCCAGAAGTCTCCTTCCACATAAGTGTTTTTCTGATCCTCTGATAACTAATTAACTATCATTTGGTGATTAAAAGAACAAAGTAAGAGTATGATCAAGTGCCCTTCATTTCAATTTCTCTTTAAGAAGTGATTGGGGAGAAGTACCTGGATACAGGCCCTTCAGTTTCCAAATGAACCCTCCATCACCTGCTTCTCAGCCACAGGCAGGATAAGTTCCACACATAGCAACAGGAAGATTTAGTTCCTTTAGAATAACATACTTCTGTGCTGCCCATGTATGATTATGTTTGAAGTGCCTGCCTCCCCCAATTTGAAAGGGTCAAGTCTTTTGCCTGAGAAGCTTGATCTCTTCTAAGTGGGCTGGGGTCCTCCTTGAGGTCATTAATTATCATTTTTAAATGTATAAAGAAAATCACATTTAATTTCTCTGCTTCTCTTTAAGTCTTGTATTCTTTTCGGTCCTCAAGAAGGAAAACAGGTTCTAGGAGGCCTTCTAAATTAAACGGGAAGCTACAGTAATGAAAACGTCCATTAGAGAACCATTCCCTGGCTCCCCTGGGGACATGGAACCAGAAGGCCTGCACTTCTCGGGCTGTGTCAGCAAGGGCAGGTCTGATGCAGATGGCGAGGCACTAATTGGCAGGTCAGCCTCAGAGCTTGAAAAGGTATTTCTTCATGGTCATGGGCATCTGTAATAGTCTGAGAATGAATGGCAAAAGAGGTTGTATTAATTCTTATAAGCATTTTTCACTCGTTTTAAAACTGAAAACATGATCCACGGCCCCTTGGTGTGTAAGATAGAGGCACAGAGTATATTACGTGCACAACAGATGTGTTTACAGGAACCTGCATAGGTAATGAGAGAATCCTTTCTTTCTGGGGGAATGTTGCTGGAAGTCCCTTAACTCTGATCTACTTTAGAACATTGGGTGGAAATGACAACACCCAGACTCAGGCTGTCTTCCCTCTCCAAACTCACTTGGCTGTAAATATTCCTCCTAACCCTCTAGTAAAAACTAAAAGACAGTGATGAGCCAGATAGTGTAGCCCTGTCAACAATCTTTGTTATTTACATTTGTCTTAGGACTAGCAGCATGACTTCTGTTAATTAGTCACTCCAGGAGGTGGTCTACCTCTTGACAGTTCATATTTTTTAAAGGAAGAAGTGGAGTGTACCTTTAAGGATCAAGTTGTTACTGCATACCTGACTTCAATTAGCATGGTCCATCAACAATTTTAAAATGATGCAAGGTAAGGTATAGGAGAAAAATAAATAGTCTAAGCAATGATTCTTCTAGGAGATAGACCTTATACTGTGTAGTTTTAGAAGAGGGAGGTGGGTGGGATTCAGCCCCGAACTGAAAGAAACAGCCTTTGCCAATTTCTCTTGACAGCAGAGTTACTGGTCTTGACTTCCAGTAATAGAAATCCAGGCAATTTGATTATCTGATTTGCAAGAAACATTAATGGAATGCTGGGGCATTTGTCCTGTTCTTTGTGCAAATGAAATTCTAAAAAAATATTAGGAGGGTGTTACATTTCTCAGTAGCCTCCACTTTTTCAATCCAAGAGAATGATAAGTGAGAGATCTGTGGTGATGAAGTTTCATTAGACATAATGAAGAAAGTGAAAAAATAGAACCAAGAATGTCTATATTTCTCAGTTTGTCCTTCAGAATTCTTTTCTTAGCATATAGGAAAATGATTTACTTCCCAAATCAAGAAGGGCTTCTACTAGCATAGATCAACTTTAATTTGAGGGTCTGTACCATCAGGAATAACTAATATCTATGTTCTTTATAGAGTATAATCAATTAGAGATATGCTAGAATATTTGGGTCTTCCAAACAAAAGGATTCAGAAGTTTAATGAAAAGAAAAACCTTTCATCTTTTCCTTTGATTACATTGAACATTTTAGATAGTAATATTAGAATGTGTCATTAGTAGATACTGAATTAAAATCATAGAGCCTTAAATTTAACAAGAAAATGTTTTCATTTATTGCCAGTTCATTTTCGGATCTGCATGGTGCCCAGTGCCTCATCAAAATGCTTCATAATTGAAACAAAATTCAAGATAACCTTCCCTGAACAGGAATTCAAGTGCCAAGAATTCAGCCAATTAATGGCAAATCCTAAGACAGCAATGATTTTTTTTGAAAGCGCCTCTTTTAATTGGCAGTTTTAAATGGTAGACTTTAATGTTCTTAATCATGCAACAGAAATAAAACATGCCAGTCTTCATGCCACGTCTTAATTTAGGAACTTTTCAGTGCTTCCAGAAGCAAATTATTTACTATCAGTGCTCCCTTAGAGGAAGTCATTTTTAAAGTAGCATTCCGCACATAGGGCCATTTATCTTTACTCAGAACTGAAATTGTCCCCCAAAGCCACGTCATGTTGTAGAAATGGCAGGAGCGTGGGGCCGTCCCAGGTGGACAGGCAGCGCACCCCTACTTGGAACATTGTCAGCCCACAGCAGTGATGACTTCACTTTGGGGCTTCATCTTAATCTCGTTTGTCCTTTATGAATATTTTCATTAAATTTACCCTGGAATAATCAAGTTTACTCCCTGAGAAATTTCAAAAACAGGGCTTGAATTTGTGTACCTCCTTTTACTTTACGTATGAGGTTATGACATAATTGATGAAACTTTTCCTTAATATGGATCATACCCATGATGTCAGAACGACCGGTCGATTCAGTGCAGGAAAAATTATGGGTAGCTAGCCAGTCAGAACAGCTGATTGGTAGCTCTGTTTTTAAACCATTTGTCGTGTTGTGTGGACAGAGCTTTATTGCTCTGGGAAAGATTTTCTTTTTCACTCTCCTCCAGCTCCGTCTTTCTATCATCTCACTTTATGAGTCACTCACGTAGTTGTCAATCATGCCTCTGACCTTCTTAAGAATTGATGTCTTGCCTTCTCTGTGATCGAAGCGGACTGCTTACCTTATTTCTCTTCTTCTCATTTTGCAGTGGGCTGTCCCTTAAAGTCACAGGGCACCATCCACCTCCTTAATGCACGTGACAGTTCTGTGCTGCCTCCCACAAGCACTGTAGGGCTTGCTCTCCACATCCAACAAGAGAGGCAAGACATAACCAGTGCCGTCAGAAAACAAGGCTAATTTTAGGTGAAGAACTCCCATATTTTGAGAGAGGCAGTGGGCAGCACTAACTTAAGTGGCAACATGACTTGAGTGACAAAATGTTTTCTAGCACTGGTGATGAGATAGTGTGAGTGTCAGAACTTCGCTTAGTGTGTAATAGAGCATTTGTCAACGGATGTGACAATCCAAGTCCAGTCTTGAAGGGAAGCAGATATGGAGTGTGGAAGTGAGCCTAGACATTAATTTTTTTAAAAGCTAAGCCCTCATACCAGCAATTCTTATTTCTCCTAAGAATGTCATGCCTTTTCAAGACCTGATTCAAGGAGTAAGATACTTGTGCCTTTTATAATAACATCTATTATGAAAAAAATAAAATGAATTTGCTTCCAGTTTAGGCCACTTGGTAGCACTATAAAGAGCCCAGATTTATAGCCGTGGCTTCCCTGCATGACGCATTGCTTGATTACCTGTGATGAACTATTGTAATGATGACTTGCCAAGCTTATATGGATGTTTAAAGACTTTATTTTTGCAGTCTTAACCTTGGGCTGGACCTGAGTCTATAGGTAAACCATATAATATCTGTGTTGTTGTAGATGCTGACAAAAGGAAACTAGATCTTTGGATTTTTGTTGTAAGATTTTTCTGTTTTTACTTAGCCAGTGGTAGATAGTTTGCAGATGGTGGTTGATTTGGCACACTTTTAAACTATTGTTTTAGCTTGAATATTATATCATCAACTTTTATAGAGGATAACGTGCTAAATCACAACAAAATTTGTTGTATTGTAAGAAGGTTGTAAACATTTTCTTAATAAAATACTATGTTTATAAATATATGCGTTTGCCTTTCAAATTGTTTTTCTTTGTAATAGTATACATCACACATTTGTCTTAACGAAATATTCTGAAGTCCCTTTAAAATTATGTTTGAAAACCGAAATAGCAGAACTCTGATAGTTCTGGCGTGTGGTGAGCAGCAAACTAAGCATATGAACTGATCCATCTGCCTGGCGTCCTGCATCTTCGCATACAACCCCCCTCCCACTCCGCTTCCCTGCGTGCTTCCGAGGCTATGATGGGGTATGGTTCTGGCAGCCTGCAGTGTGGGAGGAAATTCTGCTTCCCTTCCAGGTAAGGAACAGTGAGGTTCCTTGCTTGGTTCATGGGAGAAAAGCTTTAGGCCATCATCTGTTATTGGGGGATTTCATCAAAGGAGCCAGTAAATTTCCATTCTGGTGTTGACTTGAATCCTGGAATCCCCCAGGGCCACTCACTGCCAGCAGAAGGACATCACACACTCCTGTTCCTGTGAGATCCCTCTTACATAGGAGCACGTCTGGCTATGTTTTGTGGTTGTGTTGAGAGACCCAGAGAGGACGTAAGACAGACAGACTTGGGTTTGAGTCTCAGCCTAGCCCCTTTCTGGACTGTGCAGTTCTAGACAAAGTCCTTGGCCTCTCTGAGTTTCCTTGCCTTTATCTATAAAGTGGGAAGATAAGAGAGCATACCCCATGCAGTTACATACTTTGGCAAGATATCTATATAACCGGCATTTTATCACAGCATGGATAAAGAGTAAGCACTTACATATTATTAGTTTTTAAAAGCTATCTCCCTGATAATCCATAGCTGATTCAGTTAAAATAACTATTTGTTATGAGTTTGGTATTTTACTTGTTTTTTGCAGTTTTTGAAGTATAACATGTATAGAAAATGCCATACATCTTGTGCCCACCTCAATACATTTTTCTATCCACATAACCACCCCCACATCAAAAAATGGGACATCACCAACATCCCAGAAGCCCTTTCCTGTGTCCCCTTCCCTTCACTACCCTGTTTTCAAACACCACAGATTAGTTTTGAACTTGATATAGTCACTGTATGGACTAGGGTTGGGCTTCATTCAACATGGCATATAGTATTCGCGCTCATTCTTACTGCTATGTTGTATTCCACTAATAGCCATTCTAAGTTGATAGGCATGGCATTTTCTCCAGCTTTTTGCTGTTATGAATGTACTACAATGAACATTCTTACATGTCTTTGGTGCCCAAATACAGATTTCTATTGGACATATACCTGGGAGTGGAATTACTGGGTCATGGGAGAGCACTGTATCTGTAGGTTGGTTCGTTGGTTGGTTGGTTGGTTTTTGCTTTAGTAGATAACAGTTTTCTAAAGTGGCATAGCAATATAACAAGATTCCCAGTTGCTTGGCATCCTTACCAACACCTGGTACTCCATTTCAGCCATGCTGGCAGGTGTGTGGTGGTATCTTCTTCTTTTTTTCATAATTTAGAAATTTTTATTTATTGATTTTTTATTTTATTTATTTTTGCAGTGGTATCTTTTAGTGGGATTTTTATTTTCCTATTTGATGGATGTTCTTCTGCAGGGCTTTTAAATTGTGCCTCAAAGGGAGTATATTTCTTAGTACCTCTCTTCTGTTGTTGCGTATAGTACCCACACCCATAGCTGGAGCTGTGCTGTGGGGGAGGGAGGAGATGGAGGAGGAGGGGGCAGGGCTGGTGCAGAGCCATGGGCCCCCAGCCCTCCATCAGGCTACTTGACCAGATAGATCAGAGAAAGCTATAAACAAAGTTGAAAGGTGAACCAAACACTGGGGAAGACGTTTTTGCTACATTGATAACAGAATAGGTTCCTCTAATCTACTGAGAATGTCTACAAAGCAAAAAGAAGAGCCTTCAAAAGGAAAATAAAAAGACCCATTACATGAAAAGGCAATTCCCGAAAAAGAACATATAGTAAATGAGTAAATAACAGAGGCTAAAGCACATGAATGCCCGTCCAAGCAGCAATGAACTCACCTTTGGCCTGTTGGTGCCGGTGCAAGGAGAGGAACCCTCACCTAAAACCCCTTTGCGGCGGGTGGGTGGGTGGCTGGAGTGCATCCTGCTTCGGACAAGACCCTGCCCTTGGTCCACAGCGACAATCATCAACCCGGAGAAGCCAGGCCGTAGAGTTGTAAACAAACTGCCTGGATGAGCACAGGCAGCATCCTTGTTTATAACTTTTGGAAACGGAACCTAAACAGCTGCAAACACATTTACATGGCAGGCTGTGCCCAGTATACAGCTAAATGAGAAAAGGAGGCAACATTTCAGAGTCTGTGCAGAGTGTGACTCCATCACACAGGACAGATGACGCACCTGCACGGTGCGTGCCTTCTAAATCTGGGAACATGCACTCCAAGATGCTCGCGGTGCTTACTCTGAGGAGAAAGGCTTGAGTGACATTACTATCACCTTTTTCCACTTTCTGTTTTAGATGTATTTCTATACTTTTAAATTTCATTTTCATATTTGACCCATCTTTTTTCAAGCTGTCCTAAATCCTCTTAGAAGGGGGAGTATAAATAAATACAGGGTCTCCCAAAAAATATATACACACTTTGAATGATTATAAAGTCAGTGTTTATTAACATGCAGTTTATTTTCAATTTAAAAGAATACAGAAATGAATAATTTTTGTCAATGCCTATTTTCAAACGATGACTGTTCTGGTTCAGGCATTGCTGATAATGCAAAGCAGTGGAACTGCAAACATCAAGAATCATTTTGTTCGGTACTTATATGCCCTCAATTCATCAACTGTTGCCAGTTTTGTACCGTAAACTTTATCTTTTATGTATTCCCATAAAAAAAAATAGTCTAGTGGCACTTTACAATAAATTTTCTTTGTCCAAAGCTTAGTCTGGCTTCATCCATTATTTCAAATCAGTTAAACCTGAAAAGGAGTGAAAATTAAATGTTATCAGCTGTTAAAGTGTGTATACATTTTGGGGGCACCCTGTATATGTTATGAAGGAGAATATTAATCTATAGCCTGTCAAAATAACACTATGGCGAAAGCCACGCTAAGAAATAGAATGACTCTATGCCCAAAGGAAGAAACAAGTTAGCACAAACAGGGGTATTTTAAATGCACACACAAAACAACTGCTTTATTTTCCTACAAGCCACCGTCTGCTTGCTTGCCGTGGTCGGCAAACCGCAGCTCGAGAGCCACATGCGGCTCTTTGGCCCCTTGAGCAGTGGTTCTCAACCTTCTGGCCCTTTAAATACAGTTCCTCATGTTGTGACCCAACCATAAAATTATTTTCGTGGCTACTTCATAACTGTAATGTTGCTACTGTTAAGAATTGTAATGTAAATATCTGATATGCAGGATGGTCTTAGGCGACCCCTGTGAAAGGGTCGTTCGACCACCAAAGGGGTCGCGACCCACAGGTTGAGAACCACTTCCCTTGAGTGTGGCTCTTCCACAAAATACCACGTGCGGGTGTGCACGTACAGTGTGATTGAAACTTCGTGGCCCATGCTCAGCAGTCGGTACTTTGTAGAAGAGCCGGTATTTTGTGGAAGAGCCACACTCAAGGGGCCAAAGAGCCGCATGTGGCTCACAAGCCGCAGTTTGCCAACCACTGCAGAGCGTATAAACCATGGACCCAGGTTTCTAAGCAACCTTAATTTTATGGCAGATTTTTTTCCATTCGGACTTAAGAACAAGATTTGCATTAAGATGGTAAATTACAAAATAAAATTGAGTCTTTTAAAATGTTTAGTTGTTTGGCTTGTAATAATACTAGCTGAAAATAGGGTTCTCTACTGGAAATGTTGGTTGGAAGTCAAGCATCATCAGCCTTCTAGAATGTACCCATCATGAGTATGAAAGCATCCCTTTCAGAGGCCACTGCTGGAGGTTGCAAGACAGAGAAGCAGGACAACAGACGCAGCTTGTCAGAATGCATCACTTTGTCAAATATGATTTTCGTCGGACCTGTGATCATTTCAATGTTTTATTTTCAGCACAACCTTTGAACATCTTCCAAGAAACGACGTAAGAATGCAAAGACCACTGTTTAAGAAATTTGTGTAAAGGTGATACAGCCACAGAGATCACTGTTAAAGGGGCAGAAAGCAGGACAACCAGAGGATCAGAATTCTCTGTGTTTAATGCTCAGTGTGAATGTTACCTTCAGGCCTCTGTTAAATAAACGATGTGGAGAATTTTGTGGGAAAGCTACAAAGGCTCCACTCTATTAGAGAAAGGGCATTTTTTAGAAGAAAAGTGTTAGGTTATGAATGATGGAAATGCAAGGTTAATGCACAGCGTGGGCGGGTGTGGTATACTATCATTAACATTAGCATTTCAATCAGCTGCTCTAGCCATGGGGTCAGGCCTTGTCTTCTTTGCATAGAAATGAGAACAACACAGTTTGTTGTTGTTTTTAAAATGAAAAAAATAACTCACAAAAAAACAAGCAGACATTATAGCAATGGCGGGGGGAGGATGAGGGCAGGGGAGACTTTGTCAACAGGGAGATTTTCAGCCTGAACCAGTTAACAACCGGGCCCTTGGATCATAAAATAGCCCACCAGAAATGTTATGCTTGAATTTATTTTTACATTTCATATTTCCCATGTTAGAGAAGCAGGATCCCTGTAGGGTTGTTCTTAAATTTCTTCTCCCCAAGCTAGCCTCCCAAATGTAATAGGAGATGAGAGCATGGTGGCCAAGGGGCAGTTTTTATAAATGGCCTGCTGATGACATGGGGATGCTGGAAAGACAGCAAGTTTGAAGCCTCTTAGAGTACAGCAAATGGAGGTGCTGATGTGGGTATCAGATTACCCCTTCCCTCCAAAACCAGCTCAGCAACCTCTAGAGGAAGAAGAGTCCTGTGGCCAACCAGGAGAGGCTCCTTGGCCTGAACTGGACTGAGATGGAGCGCAGGTTTGGTGACCCAGCAATCTACAAGAGCGCGTCTCAAGAAGTGGACTGACATTACGATTACTTGGGATAGTCTCTGA